TAATTTTTTATTATTATATCATTTTAAACATCAAACGTCTTAATTTTTCTCAATTTTGAATATAATTTATGCATAATAAAAAGAAAAGGAAATAACGGTTTAATTAATACGAGGACTTCTAGGTCCTATTGAACTTGCGCGAGTAGATTCAGACTGCTTCCTGTTTTACATAATTAATTAATTAAGTTCTGTGGGATTAATAATTTTCAGAGAGAGAAACAGTAGATGAAAATCACTTGATCATCTTGTGCGGTAGTTTTTGCGTCCTCCAATTCTATATCTTCATTTACAGACTTTTCGTCTGAGTCATCAGAATCGTCATCAGAAGAATTGTTGGAGAAAGCATCTTCGTCGTCTGGATCTTCATCATCTTCAATTTCTTCATCGTCATCAGGTCTGACGAATCAGGTGGAGGTTCAATTGAACTGAATATGAAGAAAAGCAAAAGAGATTAAGAGTTCAAATCTCAGCGTGTTTTCTGATTATATATAGATAATCATAGAAAAGAAGGATAGGGACTTGAATAAGATTACCCGTATGACTGAATAATACCAGTTTCCGGAGGATTCTGCACCCTGAAAATTCAAGGAAAAACAAGATTAGTCGAAAGAAAATATAATAAAACATAGATTTTAACGTTAGAGGCTGTGATTTAAGAGCGAACTCAATGTTTTCTATCTTGAGGTCAGCTGGGAATTCAGGGAACATGTCATCGTTATCGGCCATGTTGAAATGAAGGAGGCGAGGATGGAAGAGAGAATAGGGCTCAAGAGATATAAGAAGTGAAGGGGTGGAGAGAGGCCAGAAAGGGCATGAATTTATAGGAGAAGAGAAGAGGGGAAATGTTCAATGCATGGCAAGCTGCATACAAATATGGAACGTCGACATAAATGCTTAATTTTGCTTAGGGGCGACTCATGAAATTGGATTTTTTTTTTTTGGGGTATTAATTTCTTGATTTCTTCAATGCTTTCAAGGGTATTTTGGGCCTTAGAGTTTGGTTAAGTATCTATTTTACATTTTTATCACTCTTGTGGATGTGTGAAATTTTACTTAGAAAATCAAAGATGAAAATTTATGGGATTGGAAATGGTTAGTTATTAGAAAATATTACATTACAAAATAATGCTCATGTCTGTATTTTTATACATTTTTTTAAAGATTATAGGATCATAATGGTATTACCTAGTAACATATTTACATTAATAATTAAATGGTTTAAGTAACATTTTGATCCCTCAACTTGTCACTTTGGTACCAAAATTATCCCTCAGCTTTAAAAAGTATCGAAATTATCCTTAAACTTTCATTTTTGGTACCAAAATGGTCCTTCTGTCAGTTAAGTGCACAGGTGGCACGTTAAGATGTCACAAAATCATTGATTTTTTTTTTTTAATTTTAATAACGTGTAAATCCAGCAAATAAAATCTTGCCACCATGGCATGTTTTTATGCACGTGGCATATTTTTTTACACGGCATATTATCACTTTTTTTTTTCACTTTCCCTTTTAATGGGGTCCACATGACTTTTTTTAACTTATCTTATTCTTTCTCTCTCTCTCCTCTCTTCCCTCTTCTTCTTCCTCTCCACGAGTCGCCTATGGATTCTCCGAGAATAAACCACAACGCCGCCGATAGCTCCTTTCCGCTACGTCGGAGTCGTTCACCGATTCGTTACTTGTGCCTCTCTTCGCTACTAGATCTCGAGAAGTCGGCTGTGGATACTCATCGAACAAACCATTGCTTGTGCCTCTCTTCAACGGACGAAATGCTGGTTCGAGGTCGCGTGAGTGGCGTTCCACCAAGGATCTCTCAGATCGGTGTCAATGATGGTTCTGGTGATGGTCGCTGCTTGATGCTGGTGGATTATTGCCAATGTGATGAAACCTAGATCTGGGTTTGAGAAAAACCCACATCTGGGTTTGAGAGAGGAAGAGGAAGCGAGGAGACAGAGAAAGAGAAAGAGAAAGAATAAAAAGAAGAAAGAAGAAGGATGAGGTAGAGTTTTTCAGATCAAGTACGCCGCCAAGGCTGTCGATAACAGTGGGTTTGTTTTGTTGTGCATTGAGCTTGTCATTTCAATTTCCTCAGGATTTTTTTTTCTGTTGTTTTAGAATTGTGATTGGCATCAAGTGCGAAGCTGGGATTGTTATGGTTTGCTTTATCGTCCCTAATTTTGGTGTCTGTTGAATCTTGCTTGTGGATTCGTATGTGAATGTAATTTATGGATTTGGGAGTTTCAAGGTGTGGAGAGAACCCTCCATTCTGGTGTGGATTTGTGTTGAAGATGATGTTGCGTGGTTTCGATTCCATTGCCATCGATTGTTCTTATTGGGTTGAAAGAACCCAAATTTGGGTTTGATCAAACTCAGATCTGGAGAGGAAGAAGAAGAGAGAAGAGAGGAGAGAAAGAATAAGAAAAGTTAAAAAAGTCACATGGGCCCATTAAAAGGGAAAGTTAAAAAGTGATAATATGATGGGTAAAAAAATATGCCAGGTGTATAAAAAATTTTCTTAGCTGGATTGACACATCATTAAGATTCAAAAAGTTTAATGATTTTGTGGCATTTTAAGGGGCCACCTGTCATTTAACTAATGGAATAATCATTTTGGTATCGAAAATGAAAGTAAAATGAAAGTTTAAGGATAGTTTTGATACTTTTTAAAGTTGAGGAATAATTTTGGTACCAAAGTGACAAGTTGAGGGACCAAAATGGTACTTAAACCTAATTAAATTCACTCCATCTTTCTATTTTTTTAGATTATATGGTTACATATAAT